GCACACAAAATTGCCTCCGTCAAGCTGCCATATGCATTTTCCTAACACTATACATACTTACACACAGCCATCCATTCTCAATTCTGAGAAAAAATTCTGATTGACAAGAACTCTCGAATGTAGAAGTCCTTCATAAATAAATTGTTCACTAAATGCACTAACCCTCAATCAACTGACTTGCAGTGATTACAAGTAAATTAGTACTAGTTATACAGTTAAGTAAGCAGGCAGACAGTAAAAATAAAAAGACAATTAATAATGTAATTAGTTAAACAGTTAATTGTGTAGTTTGTAGCAAGCTTCCTTCTCTGACCAAATACTACCTGGCATGTAACACAAATGGTTAAAATAAAAAGACAATTAATTAATCAGATATAATTATTGTTAATTGTGTAATTTGTAGCAAGCTTCCTTCTCTGACCAAATACTACCTGGTGTGTGACACAAATGATTAAAATAAAAAGACAATTAATAATGATATAACAAAGTTAATTGTGTAATCTGTAGCAAGCTTCCTTCTCAAACCAAATACAATCTGGTTTGTAACACAAATGGTTAAAATAAAAAGATCATAGACAATTAATGACGTAACAATATTAATTGTGTAATCTGTAGCAAACTGACCAAACACTACCTTTTATGTAACACAAAATTACAACAAAATAGAATCAAAACAGACGAGAGAAATGATGAAACAGCATTTTTCCCTTCCTCTATATTCTCACTCTCAGCAGCAAATGTAAACAAACTCCACAATCCCTGCTCTGTATTCCTGCACAGATATTACAGAGCCCAGGGCTACTCTATCTATCATCCAGGGTTCTCTAATTCCCATAAGCCCCTTTCCACTAGACGAACAACCAAAATTGGATTCTGCGACCCTTGATTTTATGATTGGAATATTATGCACAATGTGAAAATAAGCCTCGAATGCCAACAAAAAAAAAGTGCAATGTTTGCTCGCTTATAATTAAAAAACTGTAGTGGAAAGAAGGTATAATTATAATTAATATGTGACTCTGTAAAGCGTATTATTTTAATTTTATTTACAATATTGGATTTGTGAGCATTGGGCAGAAAGCACATAATGTGCTTATAGGGATCCTAAAAATGCTCATGAAACATAAAATGAATACAGGGTTGGGGTCACAAATACAAAACGTATAGTGGAGATAAAATGAAAATGCTGCACAGCGTTTATTTTATCACGTGTGAAAGTCAGAGTCCTTGCCTGACAGTGTCCAGGGCCTGAAATTCATTTTTATGAATAGGTGCACTGGTGCACCCAACCTGCAAACATTGGGTACACAAAATTTTTTTGGGGTGCACGCCTGCACGGTATAAAATAAATAAGTAAAATGTCAGAAAAACTACTCATGTTTCATTTTTAAGAAAAGTACTAGTCTGCAACAGTGATTTTTCTGAAACTTTAGGTGTTAAGAATATACTGTATACTATAAGAATATACTATAAACTATACATTTAACATCTTTACAAACATAAACCTACGAAAATATTTGGCATTCGGTATTTTTAGCCCTAGTGCAGAGCTGGAAATACTGGGTGCATGTGCACCTTAATGCACCCAAAATTGGAGCTGTGCATCCAATTTTTTTTCTGTGGGCACACCCAAATACTAAATTGTAACTATTTTTGTACTTATCAATATTCTTGGCATCTAAGTGTCAGAAAAATAATAAAATCTTTGTTGTAGTAGACTTGTTTAGATTTTGAAATTAGCTCCCAGTAAGATCTGTGATTAGGTTTTGTTTTATATGGTGCACCAAAGAAATTTTTGTGCACCAAATTTTTTAGGTTGGGCGCACCAGTGCACCTATTTCAAAAATGAATCTCGAGCCCTGCCTATAGTGCCTGTACCTCCCATGTTTCTCCACACAGCTTCTATTGTGGTTGGATCTTATCACCCCACAATTTGCATGAATCGCGCTGGAGTGAGGCTGTTTCCAACCGATAATAGTCTAGATCCATAATTTATCTCCGCGCCAGTTCCACCGGACAGGCAAGGCTTTACCTGCGACGCTTGATTTGATTTGGATTGTAAAAATTAAAGACACACACGGAGAGAAATTCAGCGCAGAGGCTAAGTATGTGGCTTTTTAATTTAACCACGCTGAAAATAATCTGCATTCAGAAGCAGCAGATTTGGATTATTCAGAAGTTTCCGCACGGCATTTTGTGTTACGGAGAGACAAGAGCGTGAAATTGGGTCATTTTTTCATATTTTGTCAGCGCGAGCTCCCGTGGAGCGGGGAATATTGTGGCAGGATGGCGTACATCACGTCACCCCTGCACCGCGCGGCTGGTTAGGCAGTCTGAGCACGTACACAGCTGCTCACACGGAAAATGAACAGGAAAGCAGACGTACGGCCTGCGAATTTTACGGCTCAGGTTTTGTTTTCAATTTCCCGATGTCTAATACATATAAAACTGCACATGCCATTGTAATTTAGCTTCATCCTTCCATGTAGCAAATGAAGTAATGTAGCTGATTACTATTAGTTTGCTACATTTCAGATAGATTGTACACTAAAATCCATGCTTTGTTTGCAATTTCCTGAAGTCGGATATGTATAATGTAAAACTGTTATAATTTAGGTCCATCCTTCCGTGTAGCAAATGAAGTAATGTAGCAGATTACTTTGCTACATTTCTGACAGATTGCACACTAAAATCAAATTCTCTTTCCATGTTTTATTTTCAATTTCCTAAAGTCGGATATATATAATATAAAATTCTGCATGACATTATGATTTAGCTCCATCCTTCCATGTAGCAAATGAAGTATTGTAGCTAATTACTTTGCTACATTTCCAACAGATTGCACACTAATTAAAATCTGATTATCTTTCCATCTAGCTCCAAATCAGTGTAAAGGTTTCCCCTTGACTTTTTATTTTATTTATCGGTTTAGCTGTTCAACCCTCACAGCCAGGGCAGCCCAGCTAGCCAGTATAGCTACAAAGGGCTTGCCCTGCTGACAAGATATGACAAAACATTACGGCAACATATAACGTGGCTTCTTAACAATCTACAAAACTATTATATTATTTAGATAGAAAAGAAAAATTCACATTCCTCATGAAACTCGATAATCCTCGCACTATAAGCTCCATCTGTTCTTACATTTACAACTGTCTTAAGAAGCAAGAAGAAGCAGAACCTACACATACATATGTGGTTTTACTATAGATATATTTTAGTCTACTATATTTTAGACCTGTACTTAGTTTGCAATGAGCAAAAATGTACTATAAAGGTTCTTAACTCATCAAAATATTCCATGTAAATAAGAATTTCCCATGGATTTCCTGCAGGAATGGACTGTTTGGCAGCAGGGCTTAAAATTCATTTTTGGGAGAAAGTGCACTCAACCTAGATATTAGGTGCACAGAAAATTTTTTGGTGCACCATATAAAACAAAACCTAATTACAGATCTTACTGCTCCTCTTCTGAGCTTGAATTTAAAATGGGAGCTAAAATCAAGTACTACAACATAGCTATATAGGTTTTATTTTTTTTGTGACACTTAGATGTCAAGAATATCCTATATACTAGTACTATACATTTGATATGTACAAAAATGCCTACAAAGATATTTGTGTGCAGAAAAAAATTGTGTGCACAGCTGCAATTTTGGGTGCACTAAGGTGCACATGCACTCAGTATTTCCAGCCCTGGACAGCGTTCTTGTCAGAAACAGTGCTCAGACTGGGTCAGTAGAAAACGCCTTCCTTTTGTTACGTTTTGAAAGCGGCGTGCCAACTGATAAAGTAAACAAACAAAGGCTTTTCAGCTCCTCCCAGACCACCTCCCAACAGATAAGGCGTGACTACAGAAGGCGGGATCCTTTCTACATTGTTTATCAATTAGCGGCTTAGAGCAAATTTAGCGGGACCCTGACAACATGTGGACGGTGGCAGGCTGTCGTCTGCAAGGGGGAAAAGCACAGAGAGGCCGCGCTAGCCTCCGTAGCAGAACTGGGGGTTTGGTTTGGTGGTCTTCGGCTGTTTTCTGATCAGCCCAGTCCTAAAAAACGGGGGTAATTCAACTAGGCCGGCTATGTTGTCTATATGCAATCAGAAATAGCACATAAAAGCTCCCAAAGACCCTGAAAACCCCCAGTTTTTGGCCTGCTATGGAGGCTAAGCGAGGCCACACCGCCTTCCAATCTGTTCAACCCCGCACTTCAAATTACACCGGCAAATGGGCATCATATCGGGTAATGTGACAGCGGGAGAGTTATGTGGTACAGGCGTGAGCAGGCATAATCGCTCTTCTGGGAGAAAAAACGGCTTTGTTTTCTGATAAAGCGGGATAGAGAGAACCAGACTGGGTTTCTGCTCGTAAAAAAAGGAGCCTGGAAAAAGGCCAACTTACAAATGTCAGCGAGCGGTCCGTATCACTATTCCGGCCAGCCAGCCGTTAAAAAAATCCATAAATTTTATATATTTCTTCGCCAGATATTGGACTTCTGTAGGCCCTGCCAACAAGGGTTAGCGTGTGAAATCTGGAGTATGATTTTTTTGTACAAAATCTTGGGGAAAATTGCGGAAAGAGGACGGCAGATTTTGCGAAAACGTCGTCCAGTGGCGACGCTACGGGGACGCCAACCGTCGCCTTACGTCGGTGACGTTACGTACGTGACGCCGCGACGCACACACACCTTGTCAGCAGGACTCCAGGTGCGAAAATATCCCCACACAACCTTCTTACGACATTCTGGGACAAAACATGGCCTAACATCTAGCGAAAACATAGCCTCCACAGCAGGCTTATAGAACTGGGGGTTTGATAATTTTTGGTGGTCTTCGGCTGTTTTCTGATTAGCCCAGTTCAAAAAACGGGGGTAATTCAACCAGGCCGGCTATGTTGTCTATATGCAATCAGGAAATAGCACATAAAAGCTCCCAAAGACCCTGAAGACCCCCAGTTTTTGGCATGCTGTGGAGGCTGGCGAAAACAAGCGACACGCACGTACCTGATCGAGTCTTTGTCGATGTTCTGGGACAACTTTTTGAACAGCACCTCGTTTTCCCCCTTTTTGACGTTCACCAGCACCGAACGCCGCACCTCAGCGCGATCCAGGTACACGGTGACGTGTTCCACGTTCATTGCCGTGATGTCATAGTGCTTGACCTGCACAGAAGCCGGCCTGGTGTCGATTTTGGACAATTCTCCGTCCAGGTTGGCCAGAGTCGGGCTCGCCGTGTCCGCCATTTTGCTCCCCTGTTCGATCCCGTTAGAGCTGGAGCTCTCGTTCCCGGGACACGCCGCGCGCGCCCCTGGGCACGTGACGTAAACACGGACGGCCACGCCCCTTTGCTCAGGTGTGATAGTCGCGTACGTGCACGTGCAGGTGCGCCAGGTAGACACGTCTGACGCCTTCATGCTAGCCTCCCTAGTACACGCATCTCCACACGGCGCGAACGGCGCGCGACTCGAGGAAACACTGTGACTGTAGTTGAACAGGTGGCAGAGTGATTTCCCAGTTCATCTGTGAAATTGCGCGCCGGTTGTGGAATACAGAATCACACAGATGAGATACAGAACTGAGCGGGCAAAAATATGTCTCCTCCCCGCCAGAATTACCAACCGCCAGGACTCGCCACTATTCACTTTAACCCGGTGCTGAATTTACGGCTTTAAAGGCAAACTGTACTCTCCAGCGGACCAACTCCCCTGGCATGCCGATTTCTACTCTTTCCAGCCGCGTAGAGGCTAGAAGAGGCTAGAATACTGGATCAGATGAGATACAAAACTGCGCGGTAAAAATATGTCTCCTCTCAGCAGCCAAACTCACCCACCAGAATTACCAGCCTCGCACGCACTCGTCACTATTCACTTGAACCCGGTGCTGAATTTACTGCTTTAAGGCAAACTGTACTCTCCAGCGGACCAACTCCCCCGGCATGCTATCTCTCTCTATTGGGCCGATTTCTACTCTTTCCAGCCGCCTCCCGAAGCCTGGTAGAGGCTAGGATACTGGATCAGATGAGATAGAAACTGCGTGGGAAAAATATGTCTCCTCTCAGCAGCCAAAATCACCCGCCGGCCGCCAAGACTTGCCACTGTTTACTATTTAGGCCATATTGATTTGATTATATGGATGACATCCCCTGGGAACCTAAATCTAATGCGAGCGGGCGAACAAAAAACAAGTCGGGCCGAAAAAAAAACAAGTTTCCTACATTTTTAAGATTTTGACTCAATCATTGTACAAATGGTTTTGATTCAGTGGGAACATCACATATACACAGCCAGCATCACATATCACTGCATCAAAGTAAGAAACAAAACATTAAATCAGAGCCTTTTCTTGTCTCCTCTCTTCATAGTTATCTGCCATCCACCTTCCGGCATGGCAGTAGACATCTTTGCCTATTTTCGGCATGTTGACCACTGTCAGAAGGCAACAAAATTTCTTGTTTTTTTCTCCAAAATCAGGCGAAAGTTAACGCGCGCGTTGATGGCATCCATAAAAATTACTTGCTGCGGCCTTACTTTAACCCGGTGCTGAATTTACGGCATTAAGGCCGGGCGTAGATGTGAATCATGCCTCTATAACACCCAGCCGTTCTCACTGGTGCCTTCGCAATTAACACTTAACACATGTGACAATCACTCGGCAACAACAGCGGATTTGCCGGTAATAAAAGCTACAACGTGAGATTTCAGTAGTCTCTACCAGACTAACTGCGCTGGCTATATAGGAGAATATTTGCCAGGGGACCGCCTTGTAGGTTTGACTGGCCGCGCAGGGAAGGAAACTACCTCCCCGCGGCCGGACTCCCTTGGCCAATTCTACGATCCGTATTCCCGTAGAAAGGCCTGAGATCTGAGATCGTTTGGAGTATCTCTCCAATCTTCCTTGAATATTGAGGAAGCGGATTGAAGACGCCCACCACATGCGACTATCACTCCTCAACAACAGAGGATTTTGCCAGTAATAAAAGCTACAACCTAAGATCTGAGATAGTTTGGGGTATCTCCAATCTTCCTTGATTGAGGAAGCTAGTTGAAGACGCCTTCCACACGCGACTATCACTCGGGTACGACATAGCCTCCTGTGCAGGCTCCGGGGCGGGTGGGAATTTCGACACAGCGTTTTGTAGAGTTTTTTACTCGTTCTTTTAATAGCCGGTCATCCTATCTACAACCAGCCGCGAGACAAGGTTCCATTCCGCACAAGCGTCTTTTTTTGCAGCCACTATAAGTTCTACATGAAAACTATCATAAGCTCTGCTTGGAGATTATCATAAAGTTCATTATTAAACGAGTTTGGCTTGTGGCAAAGAAATATACGTTCTAATCTTCTAGCATGTCCCGAGTATCCCCGCGTAGACTAGTGCAGGACGGAAAGTTCGATGCCCGTTTTTCTGTAAACATGTCGGAGTTCTGGTTTCCGCATCATCCCGACTGCCCGAATTCCAGACGCGGTTTCCTCATCACAACTTACTTGGCGGCCACGATGTTGTTTTGTCGGCAAATTGGAACAGATTTTAGAATAAGCTGCCAACTTTCCACCCTTTCGGTTCTTGGAACGTAGGCCCGCTTTACACACACACAAGTTATGTGTAAAGCGGGCCGTAGTGTCGTCGCCGGCGCTTGTTCTGTGTGTTTGCAGACCTATCAGAGGCAGAACACTATCTAGCCTGGGAAGTTAACCAGTTGGCCAGGACTTGGATTCGATGTACATGTAAACATCTTTATTTATTCAAGACAAACATTAAAACAAGATGAACCTCGGTCGGATCCTTAAACCATATAAATGGTGGTCAAGAGCGCAAGGTTATAAGAAAAGAGGAAGTTTTATATATGTTTAAAAAAAAAATTACGACTCTCAGTGGCCAATATGAGATGTTGTCACATCGGCGCACCAAATCCGTAAGGTGTTTTTGGCACCCTGACAGACAGATTAGCCTAAGAGGCTCGGTAGGCGTCACTCCACCGTATAGGTGGGGAAGTCGTGTTAAGTGCCTTTCCCAAGGGCACAACGTCGGGCCACGGTGAGTATCGAACCCGGGACCTCTCGGTTCCGAGTCCAACGCTCTAACCGTTGCGCCACCGACGCCAGTATATATGCTTTTAACTTTCTGAAAGACGCGTAAACATTGCGGCAGCTAGACTAGTGCCTTTCTGTGTTAATATTAAATAATCTTCTTACATTTGGTTAACGTTTAAAAGGCACGAATGCTGACAGCCTTACATACACGTTCACACAAGCACGTCGGCAGAACGCACTGCACCTGCGCGAAACCCGTAATGTATTGTGCATAGCACTTCGGCAGAACGTCTCATATAAGGTTGTATTTGCGCATATAAGGAAAACATCTCGTCTGTAGTTTCCAAATGTTATGTCGGAAAGAATATCCTCTGCAACAGGCAAAATTCTGATGCAACGTTGACCAAAAACCCAACGAAAAACGCGAAAATACGGGGTTCTGCGCAGGCGCAGTACGTTCTGCCGACGTGCTACACCAGGCCCGTATAAAAAAATCGAGGCGGGAAAAATCGCTCCGAGATGGCATAAAAATGGCGCCCGACCGACGCAGCGCTATCGTCATCTCAGTCTGTTCCCGATCAAACGTTAACCATGAAAGCTTCTTGATCAAACAAACTGTCAAGCCGTCATCCTCCTGCCACAGAAGAACAGTCATCCCTGCTACAGTCAGGCTGTGGAACTGTCTCCCACAGGACATTGTCAATACCAGCGACCTTCCGAACTTCAAACGTAAAGTCAACGCCTACCTCAGCGCTTCCCGTCAGCGACCTTATAGCAAACGTTATTCGGTACAGCTGCTAAGCTGAAGACTTGGTGATAGAATAGAAAAAAAAACATACATACCGTATTGTCATTATGTTTACCGAAGGAAAACATTGTTTTTTCTCCATTTCTTCTTCTTCTGTTCCAAACACTAACCTCTGACCTGGCCAATGGCCTCTTCTGTTGATGTCTATCACCATGGTAACTGGTGTTGGGTTACATAATGTGGCAATTTCATAGTAGGAATTTAGACTTGTCACCATATACATGTACATGTATGTGAATGTGTTTTGAGTAAGAATTAACAGAGCAGACCATATCCGAAGGTAAACATTATGCATTTGCTTTGCAAATGTTACTTTTCTAGTTTTATGTTTTACAGTACAGCACTCTCCATACCTGCACTGTCAATGAAGTCATTACTATACAGACGTCAATGACAAACCAACAATTCTGATCGAGTGATTTTGCGATCAGAATATTAATGAGAATTCCGCTGCCGACCTCACATCACATTCATTATGCGGTACGTCCGTTCCCAGATAGCAGCATATTCCCTAACTACTGACGGCACCCCGGTGATATCATGAATTTTGATGAGTTCATTATTCTGTAGGCTCTAAATTCACGAAATGGGAGACAGTTATGGTTTTATCAATAATATTTACATGTTCACACAGCTATCACTATATAATACCGACTTCAAAACCGAAATCCGGAGATCCATACACACTGGTGAATTCTGATTCTGGCCTCCCAACATTATGTGCGTTTTTAACAGTGCTCCTTAGTCTAAGCCTTAGTGTATTTATGTATAGATAATCCTGTAGATGTAATAAGTTGACGGTTTTGATTTAATGTCCTGTCCTTATCTTATGTAGCTTATTGTCGTTGTCTCCATTGTTAGCTATTTAAAATAGTCTTGTAACTAGCTGGGCAACCCTGGCTCTCTTTTGAACAGCTGAGTCTGCAGCTGACCCAAATACAAAAACTAGCATGGGATATCCAAAGCGGCCGTTCAGCTGCAGTTCCATAAGAAGCCGCTGGGGGCGCAAAATCTAATAATTTCGAGGTGTCATCAAGACCTACCCACCTACCAAATCAAATCATTCATTATGCGGTACGTCCGTTCTCCGATAGGAGAATTTGCCTTAACTGCTGATATTATGAATTTTGATAATTGCTAATTCAGCACCAAGGAGACATGCTGTTGCCGATGCTTTATTCACTGTTTTAGCACATGAGAATTCCGTAGTCAACCTCAGATCACATTCATAATGCGGTAAATTCGTGCTCTTCTCCACCAGACTCCTTTTGCAGGCTGAATACATCGTAAAAATCGGCCTAAAAAGTGCATATAATTTGCCTGCAGGCCAAGTGGACTCTTGATGGCCGGGAAACTCCTTTAGCCAATTACATGCTCTTTTAGCCAGATTTCTACGATTTATTCAGCCTGCAAAAGGAGTCTGGTGGAGACTAGATTCGTTCCCCTATAGGAGAATATTCCCTGAACTGCTAATATTATGAATTTTGGTAATTGCTAATTCAGCACCAAGGAGAGATGCTGCCGCTTCATTCACTGTTTCAGCACAGACACAGGGGACAGAAAATTTGCCTTAACTGCTAATATTATGAATTTTGATAATTGCTAATTCAGTAATTCATTCGCTGTTTTAGAATTGTAAATCCCGTAGCCAACCTCATTGCCAACAAACCTTGCCAGATCCCTGTTGGCAACTACAAGTAAAAAACAGTACAATACAATGTAGTCTGAATTTGAACATACGTAGCACATACAAACATTTTCGTTTTCCATCTTTTGATGGCGCCAATACTCAGCGCTCCTGCAATCAGCGAGGGAGTCGGGATTTTACAGGATCATTTCTGGCTGATCGACTCGTGATCCGACTTTAACGGTTGATCCCGGGGGATCAGGCAGGATCCCGGGGGATCAGGCAGGATCCCGGGGGATCAGGCAGCATCCCGGATCAGATCAGGCAGGAAATCCGCAAATGTAGCGGCCAAATTGATCCTCACCCATCTGGAACGCCTTTAGGCCATGTTGATTTGATTATATGGATGACATCCTCTGGGACCCGCAAAACTGATGCGCGCGTGCGAATAAAACAAAAAACCGATCCAAGTGTGCACTACTAAATACTGTAGTCTTATTTCTACACATTGCACTTGGTCTTAAGAGGACTACACCTCGAGACATTACAAGTCAGAAAAATCGAATTAAATAGTTACTACTAGCAATATTACTCTCACACTGAATCTCCAAATGAATGTACAAAGTACGTCTAGGACCAGATCGTTTTTTACATTCATTCATTCATTCATTCATTCATTCATTCATTCATTCATTCATTCATTCATTCATTCATTCATTCATTCATTCATTCATTCATTCATTCATTCATTCATTCATTCATTCATTCATTCATTCATTCATTCATTCATTCATTCATTCATTCATTCATTCATTCATTCATTCATTCAAACGTACCTCACTGAATTATCCGGAGGCATGATGATGATTTTGATAATTTTTTTCCAGGTAGAGGGCAAACAGCGGATGGAAGAGCTGTGCACATCTGACGGGGAGGAAGTCAGGTTCTTGGAACGGCTGTTTGACGAGCGGTCCGTCCTGTTCCTCGGCTGCGACCCTGATCAGCCCCTGTACACCAG